GTTCATTTGTTTTTATTAGCCTTTATCGACTACTTCCACCTGAACATTTGTTTGTCTAATCATGCTGTATTTCATCAGTATTCATGTCATTACAGATCGCTTCACTTTTTCATCCTTATTATTGATAAGACCATTTTTATTATTACTATTATTATTATCATTACTACTGTTATGACTAATTACACAATTTATATTCACCATCTTATTATCCTAAAGACAAAACGCCATGATTGGTTTATATATTTGAATTTTTATTTGTAAACTTATGTATATTAGAGTTAAGACTGATGAGATCTAATTGAAACCACAGTATTGTTCGCTTAAATGTGTTGTTCTAGACTTCCTAGTTGCTAATCCTTCCTGGCTGTGTGGTATTTAGCATGAAGCGAAAGTAGCTGTAAGTGCAAGTCTACAGTAGCAGGCTGTTGGAAATTCTTTTGCTGACGCTCGTACCAAGACTCTGAAGCACATAGAAGCAATGACTTCACATTAGTATTCAGTAGATTTCGCATTCCTGTTCCTTATGATAGGTACTTTAGGTCTATACGCTGTGATTCCAGAGTAATGAAAACATATCTTGCCTTCTCGATCCTGTCTGGCTGCACAGCTAAGGGAAAGATGTGAATTCCTGTAGATATTTCCCATAATTAGTGATTGGTTACAGAATTTCATCATGAGCTGATATCCGATTAGAGAACCATTGGAAAACTAACAGGAAGCACTGGACAACTGTTTCATCAGCCTAGTTTGGAACTCCTCATCAGTACGCACCCACCGCCAAGGTTTGAACAGCAAACCTTCCGGTTACGAGGCGACAGCGTGGACAATTAAGCCAATGGGACCCAATCAAATAACCAGTCGATGAATTCCAGCTTCTGCAAATTCGTGACAACTGCCAGCCAATATCACGGGCGAGTAACCGTTCTCTTAACAAACTTGGGCCATTGGATTGAGTCCCAGTACCTGAATGACCTACGAGCTCGCATTGTAACTAGAAGGTCCTTCGTTCAAACTCTGGCGGTGGGTGTGTATTTCTGGGGAGTCCAAAACCAGGCTGAAAAAACAGCTGTACAGTGCTGTCTAGTGGTTTTCCAATGGTTCTCTAATCGATGTCAGCTCATGATAAAATCCTGTAACCAATCAAATCCCTGCAGTCTAACACTTGAATAGTGATGAACATTTTCTTTGTCCTCATTCGGATATTTTCACCACTTATTTCTTCACTTCCTCTTCTCCTTAGAAGATATTCATTATCTTAAGGATGCGTTGTAAAATATAAATGTCAAAATATTGATTTCTTTTAAGTACCAAAGCTCTTCGAGGACAGCAAACAATTGTCATCTTCAGGTTGAGCTATAAATCTTCTCCACTCCCCTGTTGCACTCCCCTTAGACATTTTAGCATCATTAAGATTGAAAGTTGTATCTCTGTTCTCTAAGACCTGGTGAATTCATTATCTGACCTGTAGAATTCCAATTCGTTATCACCGAAAAAGGCGTCCTTTGTAGGGATCACTTAACAACTGTGGAAGAGCTTAAAAAGATTCTGGTTCTTTTGACCTTAGATAGTTTAGTGATTGGTGTCTAGCAGTATAATCCAGGACAATGCGTATTTCACCCTATTAGGGACTCGTCAACCGGCTGAATGTACCTGCATTCCCCAATGAGTCAATGATGGTATTCCCACTGAGTAGCTGGAACCCGATATGTCAACAGAGGCCGCTGGCTTCCAGTTGTCTGTTGCATGATCAAATCCACTACAGTCAGGGATATCATCGTTGATGGTAAACAGCCTTGCCTTACTTCTGTTTTCACCTTAAAGGCTTCATTGACCTTTCTGTTGTAAATTACTAGGTGTGTAGCATCAATACATAACTGTTGAATGAGTTTTGTATGGGTTTGAAGCTCCCAGCAGTGTTAAAGCTGTTGACAAATTACTTCCCGATCATTGCTGTTGAAGGCATTCTTAAAATTGAGTAAGTCGAAGTGGAGACTTGACTGCTAAGCTGCGTTCTGTTCGATAATGATGAGCAGCGTTGCGATTTCATCAAAAAATAATTGGCTTTTCCGTCGCACAGTTCTGCATCCAGAGCGTCTTTGAGTCTCACCAAGATTATGCCGCTTAAGATGTTTTTCGGGGCGGCAAGAGCACGGTTTTGCGTCTCTAATTTCTTTGGGTTGTGATGTAGTCTATCTGATTTTTGGTGGATTAGCCTGGTGAAACCCATGTCGGTTAGTGTATATCTTTTTGCTTGTACACGCTGCCTCCAGTCAGCAAATCGTTGAAGGTGCGGAAGTCTGCGATGAGTGCGTCGACGGCCTCCTGACCCATGATGAGTTCTCTTCGTGTGTTGTTTGCTCCTAGTTTGACACTTATATCACCCATTAGGATTTTGATGTCTCCAATCGGGATCTTGTCCATTATTGTTCTCAGTTGTATGTAGAAATCCTCCATCTCCTCTTAATCTGCCTTTTTCATTGGAGCGTAGCGCTGAATAACTGTAACTTTCCTACCTTTTGATTTGAATCTTGCTGTAATTATCCGGAAGGAGATTGGTTTATTCTGCATAAGAGCCTGCGCTGCTGTTGGTGACATCATTATAGCTACTCCGTCAATATGTTCGTGGTTGTTGTCTGGGTGACCGAAGTAGACTATCGACTCTTCAGTTGACAATTTAGAGAGTCCACTCCCGCTGCATTTGCTCCCACAGTCTCCGACCACTTCTATGCCTTCTATCTTCGCATCCCTTTGGTAATCTGAGCAGCCTTCCTACCTTCGAAAATCATGCTGCGTTTATTTTTGCTTTCATCGTTTGGAGACACATCTGCTGACTGACTTCCTGATAACTTTCACTAGCCAGCGTCATTTCATCTCTCCGATTCCCACGAAATATAAGTTTATTTTTCATTTAAAACAATTAGTTCCCTTTATGAATTTGGTTAGACAAAGCAATAAGAAGACGTAATTTGTCTGAATCATGTAATGTTGTATTTGCGCAACACACATTTCGAACAATCTGATCACACACGGACTTGAAATTAATAAAGAGTAGATATCTATATGTCGTACATTGAGAATTTATCGGAGGATTTAATCGAAAATGTGCCACTTTATGGAAGGTATGTAGATGATGAAATTAAAAAAGGGCTAAGAGGTGAGAAAACAGACTGCTTATGTCAAGTTAAAAAGACATATTGAAGGTCAAAATAACAATGCTGACCACTAAACAAAATAACAGAGGTAATAGTACATCTGCTATGGTATCAAAACAAAATTCACCAAGGAAGCCTTAGTGTGATGACGAATTGTTACTTTGAACGCATAAAGGTGGTTTGAACTTCCTAATTGCCATTTAAGGCTTCCACAAACTTTAGGATACGCCAACCCCCAAACACGTTTTATGGATCGATAGGTTTAAAAGATGTGTGGAAACATCAATTTTATGTCCTGTATCTAGAGGAGCTAGGTCTCCATTAATGGGTTCTGAGGATTCGATTTGCTTCTGGAGCCATTTAGGAATATGCTCTGAAGCCAGCCCTTACTTGTAGAGATCGATGAGTCCTCCCTATTTGTGTTTGTGTGACCACACGTACATTCAAATTGGTAAATATAGTGGGATGTGACATCATTTTCCGCATGCTCAAAGGGCTTAGACAGATATCTTAGTTTCACATTCTCAATTATTATTATGATATTAGCTGCATAAAAAATCTTTTTAACCGCAGCGTCCAATCTCTCTAGTTATCAGGGGTAGCTTGAGGTACACCTCTTTCTTAGGGGCGAGTTGGAGAGTGAGTGGGTCTTGGTGTTCCACTGACTACTTTATATCTCCTAATGAACTCGTCTGGATAATTGTTATCAGCCAGAGTTTCTGTCAACTTTCTTTCTTGTTCATCAAGTGTGTCTTCAGTCCATATTCGTTGGGTTCTACTGAAGACGCGCCTTACTAAGGCTCTTTTGTACGGAACAGAGCAGAAACTGTGATAATTAAGATACTGTCCTGTCCAGGTAGGTTTTCTATAAATAGATCTTTTTATTGACCCATCAAGCTGTCGACTAAACAATATGTCTAGGAAAGATAAACAATTATGTTCCTCTTCTACAGATGTAAGTGACATGCTATTATGAACTTCATTCATTCGATTTGAAATTGAGGTGGCAGAACAGAACTTATCACTGATGATTACAGTATCATCTACATACCTTCTATAAAGTGGCACATTTTCGATTAAATCCTCCGATAAATTATCAGTTTACGACATATAGATATCTGCTCTGTATTAATTTCATATACATATATATATATATTCCTATGCCAAGTCTGTGTGTGATCAGATTTTTCGAAATGTGTTGCGCAAATACATTACACGATTAAGACAAATTACGTCTTTTAATTTTTAAATTTTTTCTGTGCTTTGGAATTTCTGTAACGAATAGGTTGATTTTCTGAGGTAGGGTCCCCAGCCCAATGACCAACATTTCCTCTTTTCTTGGGCTTAAGACTGGCTAGTGGACTAGTAAATTAATTCGATAGATGTCTTATAACCCTTAGGAACTTAGCAAGTTTTGTCGACTTGTAAACTTATTTTGACTGGACATTGGTAACTAGTGTGAATTGTCTAGTCCTTCTTTTGGTGCAGACTGAATTCTATCAGTCAGGTTTGCAATGTGGCCACAATTCTAGGTAGCTCGCCATCACGGCGCACACTGATTTGATGATATTAGATGATAGTTGGAGGCAATCGGCGTGTTCGAATCTCAGAAGGGGCATGAGTTCCTTCACGATTGCAGATACGCCTTGCTGATTGATGAGTGGCAATTAGCACGAAACTTATGTCAAGAGGGGCTTCCTGCCGATCGCCTCCAACTATCTAATATCACCAAATGTGTAAACTTAATTTTTCCGCATTTTAATTTTCTAATTGACGCCTTTTATTTCATGCATGTTGAGTAAGCCTTATATACATATATATTTTCTGTGCTTTTTATAAATTTTGTAGAAATTTCCCCCAATTGTTGGTCGATTTGTTCCATTCGTTGCTGTTTGTGCAGCTAATTGCATTAATATACCATGTATGCGGAGTTCAGAGCTCACTGAAGGTACTCCCGTATTGGATGAAAATGGTGAGAAATTAGGCAGATCGACAGTTGTAGGACGTAGAGCTATAAGTCAAGTGGTTTTCTCACGTATATTAATGGCTGCTCCTGGAATGGGTAAGACATTTAATTATTACAGTACCCCTTGTTTTTTGTTATTGATATTAGCACTTAGTAAATTTGTCTGTGCACAGCAGTCGAATGACCTTGAGCTGACCAATCGGATCGCTCAGCACTACAAATGAATGCTTTTTTTCATAATCTCCGTTGCAAGTTTCACCCTAACCTTAATCGCGACCCTAACTTAATCCTACCCTAACCTTTACCCTGAGTCAGAGTGAAACTTGCAAAGCAGATTATGAAAAGCGTTCATTTGTAGTGCTCAGCGATCTGATTGGTTGGTTGGCTCAAGGTCACTTGACTGTTTTTTTTAATCCTTCACGTTCTCCAGTGGAACATAGGGCTTCAAGCTAGTGGCTTGAAGTTTCTGTAGCAGTGGTGTTTATTTTACAGGATGGGGTTGCTAGCCTCATGCCCAACCTTTTCTCTTCACCAGGATTACTTCTGGCTTAGCGAGGTAAAGGGATGCGTCGGCCGGAGTTCGAACCCCGGACCATGTGTATGGTCGGCGAGCGTCCTAACCGCTATGCCACCGACGCCTTGTCTAAACACACTAGAGTTTAGAAAAGACTGAGGCTTCCCTCACTACTCACTCATATTTATGAAGTGCTGCATAGTGGGATAGTAATTACTACTTTAGACGAAAGTTGATTGTTTGAACTAAAGGTGGGTAGATATAATAATAATAATATTGTGGTGAGAGCTGTCTGCAAGCCAAAAATTGTAAACAAAATCTACGTCAATGTTTACGTCCCGAATCGGGGTCATGTGAGAAAATCAATAACAAAGCCTAACCTTGAGGAACTCAACAACCATTCACAGCAGACTTAACGTGGACAAATATGATTCGCAGATACATGACAGAAAAACCTTGGGCAAGAAAACAACCAATCAGAAGACGTAGCTTCTCTGCTAACAATAATGCCAATAATAATGTATATAAAAATCTATAAATATCTGTTGATTTTCTGAATAAAGGATCTATTGCTTGGCCCTTGTCTTTTGTTGTTACATTTTGGTGTCGCTGCCTACCGAGAAATGGAAAGCCCTGCAGTTTTTGATGGAGACATATGGATCTTCGGGCATGACTTCGAGGTTGTTACGCAGTTGAGTGGTGCTCAAGATTTGTCAGCGATGAGGCTGTTACTTGGATCGCTGCTGCAAAGTCGGGTGAAAGCAGCATATGAAAGTGTGAGGCAAAACATCGATGAATGCACTGCAGGGTCAGGCAAACATCTTCCAAAATGGGAAAGACCACATATAGTCACTGTGAGACGGGATCACCTAGATTCGATCAGAAATGTAAGCAAAGAGAAAAGAGTGAACGTCAGCGAGCGCCGGAATTCTAGACCGCAAGACAAACGAACAAAGCCACCAGCATCAAGAAGATCGAACCAACTTCAGTCGAAAGTCTTTGACAGGAGGGGGGAGCGAGTGTGGTGAGAGCTGTCTGCTAGCCAAAGAATCTGTTGCCTGGCCCTTTTCTTCTATCGTTACCATGCCCTCACCCTACCTGAGGTGTTTCTGTACAGGGCTTTCAAGATGTTAACAAATTTCTCAGGTACACCTCTCTCTAACAGACAGTTCCAGAGCACAGTTCTGTCCAACGAATCGAATGCAGCCCTAATATCAAGAAACACAAAGGTTGTTGGCCTGCCATACGTGTGGTGGTGTTCCAATAACTGACGAAGGGTGAACACATGATCAATGCATCCACGACTTGAACGAAACCCAGCCTGCTCTTCGCGAATCAATCCTTCACGTGTTTTGCACAGCCTGCAGAGCATGACAACAGTCAACATTTTGGACGCAACTGATATCCCTATGGTTGTCAAATGAATTACGTCGACCTGTTTTTGCTGATGAGGGGTCCCAAAATAGGGACGAAACAGGTCACGACCTTTTACGTAGGCTCATTAGTTGAAGATAAAAATGGAGAGAAGCTTGGAATGGTTTAAAAGTGTCAGTAGTCATAAAATTTGATGAGAGAACCACAGAAGCTTAGAACTACAAGACAAAGTGTATTATAAACAGTATGGAAATAGAAAATTAATGCGTCTTTTCCCTTTCGACAGATTTTGAGTCATTTCATCCAGCCTATCGTTCGGAAGAAATCAACTTTGTTTAATATGCTGACCATCTGACTGTCTTGTTGCCAATTTCTTCCTAAGCTGACTTTTCCAAACTGACTGAACAGCTTTCTGTCCGATATTAGCCGGTGGTTTAAGCTTAATGATTCTACGTTAAATCCCTTCATATGTCAGACAGTTAATTTCACCTTCAGGAATAAAGATGATCTTAACGAACTCATTAGTGCACTCAATGATAGTAGCTTAGAGGGCACTGATATACAGAATAAGTCAAGCATAAAATACTTTGGTGTAGTTCCATCCTCTGACCTCTCTTGGTTTTCCTATGCGTTATCGACTTCTACGAAAATGTTCTGTCTAACTTACTATATTAAGAAGTGAAAACAGTCAGGAGCCAATCAAACTCTTCTTTTACAGTTTCTTAACTCTTGAATCTTACCTACTGTTCCATATTGTTCCCTATTACTCTTTCCCAGACTTCTCAAAAATCACTGTGTCATATTGAGAAGGAGGGTATTAAAGACTGTTAGTAGGGTAAGTTTTGAGCCACTTAGTCAGCTCGTCACTACTCTAATCGACAGACAACTACCTGAACTCTTGCGATAAATGGTCTCAATCCATACTGTCTGACACTCAACACCACCTCTATGATCATCCCTCACCTTCCATCCCATCATCAGGTCATTATAAAAGATTATATGCTCATTCCTGCAACCAGTAACATAAAGATGATAGAGTTCATGAAGAAACCTAACCAGTGGAGAAGATATGTAGCTCAGGTGGATAATTTTGATGATTTATTTGCGAAGCTTTCATTGCCCTACTAGGCAACATCTTCAGTGCACACTTCAGTTTGTTGAAGTGACCTATTCGATTTCTGCAACTTACCAAATCAAAGGCCCCCAACCAAAGAAAACTCAAAGAAAATTGCCCTATCATATATCAAAGACATCTCAGAAATCACTGCAAGACTCTTCAAACCTTTAGGAATTGATGTCACGCACAAACCAACAAAATCATTTCACTCAACTGGCTCTGTGTCAACCAAAAGACAGACTCAACAGCGAAAGAAGATGAAACCAATACCATCTACAAAATAAGTTGCAACGACTATGAAGAACACTACATCCAAAAACCTAACCGAAAACAATAAGCATCAATAACTAACTATCAAAGGTAGAAGTTTAAATAAGCCCACTTACCTAGGCATAAGTGAAAATTTCAAAGTTAGCGGGGATCAGAAAAGCGATACAGATGTTCATTCATTTGAAATCAGTATGGTAACCTGCTGCACTCGACACAAAAAAAACAAAATTCTGATTTTCAATAGTAGTCTGGAGTCATATCAATATATGTATAAAACTTGGGCACTGTGGTAGTAAGCAATTCCATATTAGTTTGTTTATTAGATGCATCACACAGTGAAACAGTATTAGAACACAAAAACTAGGTAGTACCAAGGAAAATCTAAGACAGGAAGTGAAGCATATAAGAGAAGCTTTGAAACTTATTAATTACCCTGATAAATTAGTCAGAAAGTATGTAAGGAAATGTAAAATTAAAATAAACAATGATAGCGGTGATAGTGATAATAATAATAGTAATGACGACATGCATGTCGAAAGTGCACAGGATAATGACACCACCAAAATAAAGAATATAAGTCATCAGTAGTACTTCCATATCAGGGAGGAACCTCGGAAACCTTACGGCGGAGAATTCTTAATAAGGCAGGAATAAAAGTGGCTGGTATTCAAACCTACAAACTCAATTAAAACAAGCTTTGTCGGTTAAAGGATCAATTCTGTTGAGCCTTTAAAACAAAACAATTTAGTTTATCTAATACCCTGCCGGAATGATTATCAGGTCAAATACATAGGTCAAAGTAGTAGAACAGGATCAGTCAGATTAGCCGAGCATACAAAGCCTAGCAGCAAACTCTAGATTAGTTGACCCGAATATGATAAGAAATCTGGAGAATAATTCAATCGTAGTATCACTACAAGCAATTACACACACACAACCATACAATAGGATGGGATAGGATGACAATTTTAAAATCTAATGTAACATGTAGGAGGGAGAGACTGATAACAGAAGCTTTGTTTATCGAATCAACTATAAATACATGTAATAGGAATGATTCATCACCTGTTCACCCAGATATCTGGAAAATTCTACTACCCACACAACAAATAGGAGAGAACAAAGAAAACTATAAAACTCAAGTTTCGAAGTCGTGTGATTATATTTGATATGATTATGAACCACAATAAATTGTGTTCGAGACGTCATCCAGTAAACACTAATACTGTTTCACTGTGTGATACATCTAATAAACAAACTAATATGCTGTCTGGAATCAGTTCTTCTTTAGGGTACAGGAATTTGGCACGTCACGAAATGCATTTCCAGTAGATTACTGAAGACTTTTATCAACAGTTAACTCTAAGATAAGTTGTCCGGAAAAGATTAACAAAGAGGAACTCAGATAACGTATCATCCAAGATCCTATCTCCCGACAAATGTGGGGAAGGAAACACAGTTGGACTGAACACATCTTGAGGAGATTGTTGGCTGACCTCACGCAACATACCTTCCAGGGTAACCTGAATGATAATTTGTACATGGATCCGAGGCTGATATTGGAGGAGATTATTTGAGGAGGAATTAATCTCCGTCGGAGTTTTTATCAACTCTGTTTTGTAATTAAATCACTTGTCTGAAACATGGTTTTTGATATATGAGTCCTATGAGCTAAGCTCATCATACTACCCTGCGTGGAGCATACTGAATTGGACAGAGTGGGATTCGAATCCAGAGTTAAGATTAATTTAGCTCTTATTATCTTTTGTTGTTTATTTTTTCATTCAGCTGTTCTACCTTTTGTGATGGAAGCATTAGAGAAGAAAGCATTTCTTAAACGGAATCCTTGGTTAGGCGCTCCTATACAAATTGGTCTAGTCGGTGTAATGTAAGTTTTGCTTCTTGTAAATTTTGTCTTTTTTTAGTAATATTGTGTAGTGGTTTATTTCGTGTATTCCGTGTATTAAGTAATACTGTTGTCTTTTAGTGTGCTTGACCTACAGCAACAACAGACAACAATCAGCATAAATTAGAGGAGTCTGAAAGAAGCAACCTCCGTTACCTACTCACCTCCCCGGGAAGCATCGTTTCAACTACAGGCGGACGGAACTTATGAGTATATCAAAGCGAGGATCAGAAAAGCAAGGCAAGCTTTTATTACCCTCAAGTCTGTGTGGAGATCAACAGCACTCAGCATGAAAATAAGATCCGGATTTTCAACTCCAGTGTGAAGTCAGTGCTACTTGCGATAGGGATCAGAGACTTGGCGATGCGTCACGGTACTTCGAACAAACTACAGACCTCTATCAACGGGTGTTTTCGCTCAATGATACTCAAGATCAGATGGCCGGCCAGAAAAGATGAGCAACAGGGATGTCTGGCAATGAACGAACTAACCCAGCAGGAACCGATTGTGCAACAAATCTGCAGGAAGAGATGTAGGTGAATAGACCATACTCTGAGAAAACCAACCATCAAGTGACATCACACGCCAGGCCATCGCTCAAGTGGAACTCAAACGGGAAGCGGCGAGTTGGTCATCCAAGGGTGACGTGGAATGAAAGCATATGGGCAGACGTGGAACCAATTGAAAAAGTTGGCGGACAACCGAACGCAATGGAGACGTGCGGCTGAAGTCCTATGTTCCTCTAGGAACTAAAGGAGACAATAATAATAGTTTAGAGTGCTGGTTTGAACTTATCCATGCACATTACAGAATAAAAGTGGGCATTTTTTAGAGATACTGCATGTTTTCTTATAAAGATTCCAATTCCCTTAATCTACTCCCCTCTAATCTATCATGAACGTTAGTATTACTCTGAGAAATTCACGTCAAATTGTAGCCCTTGCTTTTATGGTTTTAGTTCATTCGACTGTCTGAGTTCAGTCATGTCCGATACACTGCTGATAGAGTGACTAGACCTGCGAATGAGTCAAACGGCCGTTTGATTATCTAGAAAATAGAAAGATTGAGCGGAGAAATATTTACTTTTCAATTAGATCCTCATCTCTGGCTCTACTGTAATATATATATATATATATATATATTTCTATTACACAACAGTTTACCAATCAAGTGGCGATATTTTCGTTAACAATAATTAGTCAGTCCCATCTGCACAAGAAGCCGACAGACATGTCATCCTGAAACCGAGCACTTTAGTCCAGTCAGTCGACGGGAAAATCTAAAATTCAATTAAATAATTAATATGACCCGTTGCACAAGAGGCAGCCAGCTCTCGTGGCCCAAGTAGTCTAGTGGATAACGCTTTGGCTTTCGAAACTATGGCCACTGGGTTCGAGCCTCGATGGGAACATCATCACTGACTCACTGGGAAATGCAGGTACATCCAGCCGGTAGAGGAGTCCCAAATAGGACGAAATGCGCGTTGTCCTGGATTCCACTGCTATTCGCCATCCACCAATTAATTTCTTATGTCTCCATGTTTGATTTTCTTATATATATTTTTAAATCACTCTCTACTACTGATACAATCTGTTTTATGTACTTGTCTGTATATAATTTTAAAATAAATTTTATTTTGATATTCTAGGTTATCTCTTGTCACACCATTGTGTTGTGCTTTATTCCCTCAAATGAGTTCAATTGCATTCCATAAACTTGAACCAGAGTTGCAAACACGTATTAAAGAAGCTCGACACGGGAAACCACCTGCTATAGTCTATTACAATAAAGGTTTATAAATGGCCGTGTGTTTGACTGTGTGTTCATTTGTATGTAAACCAACAAATTCCAAAGTAGATCTGATATTCCTGGTCAAATCTTGTTGACATTTTTATTTTTTTTATTTGTTAACTTATTTGATTTGATGTGTTTGAGTGTTACTTTTTATGTAGAATGATTCAATGATTTATTTATATTTATTATCATTAGTGATCTTTTTTGTTGTCGTTGTTGAACGTTTAACTTTTGTTTTAATACATTCACTTTGAAAGGAGGTTTATTTAAAAATGAAAGCTACATCATAGAAGTTTAAATGTATCTCAACCAATAAAATGTTGTTTTGAATGTGCTATTGTCGCATTTTTTATATGAATTTATTGAATGTAATATATACATAGGGATACTGTAGACTTCGATAACTTTAAACTGTAGTGACCCTAAACGGAACCACCAAGTGATGAAAGGATGTAATGACTTTGATCAACCAATCAGATTAGCGCGTAGTAAATGCGCGTAATTTAAAAAAGTCTTTTATAAACGTCAAATTGTTAAAAATAGATATACAGGTTAACTTTTTCGTGTGTGTCCCAAGAAAACCTCTTAACGCCTTATCGAAATGTTTAGTGATAGTTCAAAACTATTTCTGTACATAAATTCACCCAGATAACTGTATATCTTGCTGTGTCATGAACCATTCCCTGTTTTATTCAGCACCAATGAAACTGAAAAAGGAACAACATGCTGGAAGATATATGTGCACATATCCATGAAGAGAGGATGGATACCTCTGTAAAGACAACACTCATCTACATCCACATGCTTTCTGTAGGCATAGTATCCTGACAGTACTCAAATACTAACTGTTGATGGAATTGTCAACGTCATTCGTGTACTGTATCTATATATTGGGCTTTATACAACGAACTCATATGATTGTTTGATGAGGGCTATTATGGCCGTTTATTAGGTAGTCTCGTTTTGGATCAATATTATTATTATAATTATTATTATTCCCTTGGGTTCTGAGTGGAGCATTGGGCCTCAACAGCACACCTCCACTTTCTTCTATTTTCTGCTGCCCTCTTCAGCTGGCCAGACACGACTGCCTAAACTCTCTCATCTCTTTCTCACACTATCTCCTCCATGTCACCCTCGCAACGACGACCCACTCATCGCTTCCCGTTTAGATTCCACTCAAGGGCCTGGAGCGCGAATTCATTCGACGGCCTCCTCAATGTAAACCCAGTCCATCTCCATTTTCTCCCACATATTTGTTGAGCGATCGGCTCTCGGTTGGTTTGTTCCCAGAGTTTCTTGTGGCTGATTCTTTCTGGCTGCCCGCTTGATCTTAAGTGTGTAGCCAGCAAAGGTCGCTGTTGATAAAATTCTGAAACATCCTGTTGGAAATGTTTTCCGTGAAGTGAGCGCCAAGTTTCTGACCCATATAGAAGTGACTGAATGGTTTAACATTTGTGTTGAAAATCAAAATTTTGTCCTTTACTCTGGCTGAGGTGAGATTTCCAAACTGATTTGAGAGTGATGAAGGCCTGCCTTGCCTTTCCGATTCTGGAGGGATCTGACATCTCCGTCCGTTCCGACTTCCTGTAGTTGAAACCGTGCTTCCTATATGAGTGAAGCAGGTAACCTGTGTTGAATCTTTCTCTTTGATGGTGATTGGTGCTGGTTGTTGTTGCTGGTTAGCTGGTTGGTTATCTTCATCACCTCCATCTACTTTATGTTCACTTGAATTCATGTTCTGTCTTCTCTGCTTCTTCAGCTAGTTTGTTGGTTTTCGTCTGCAACTCTTCGAGTTTTTGTGACATTAAACATAAATCATCTACACTCGAAATCCAGATCTTCAAGAGTTTTCTTATCTATGGTCCATCGTATTCCTGTCTTCTCGCTCCCTGTTCACAGTCTGGTGCATAATCCATTCGGGCACCACAATTAAGAATATCATCAGTGATAATAGACAGCCTTGGATCACTATTGCTTGGAGTTACCTAGATTTCTTTCAACGAATCAGAGGTAATAATTACAATCGATTAGTTATACCAAACAATTGAGTTACTGGCGGCGGTCTACTTGAAACTTAGGCTACGGAAAATCTCCATCATTATTATTACAGCATATCATTTCTTGTGTTCAATTTGTTTTAATCGAATAAAATATAAGGTCGAATGGTATTACTTACTCTGGTGAGTATTTAAAATTTGCTTACAAGCTATAGGTTCTCCAATTCCTATCATAAACATGAGAAAAAAGCATAATAGTAGAGAGGGAGGACTACGTACTCCATCCAACACATGAGATAGCTATTCCCAAGTTAATGCCCATGGGGTCACAAATTGTTTCGCTGAACTTTTTATCATTTGCATTCAAGCAAAATGTCGTCATATATTTCTCGAAGGAGACAAGGAAGAGATATTACATACTGGATCATTTTGCGCTTCAGGTTAGACAGCATTGTATCACACGATCTACTGTCAATCAAATCTTCTCTTTGAAGATCCTGGACGAAGAGAAAATATCATACAATACACTCTTTACTGAAAATTCTGTAAATTACATAAACATCGTTCAGAATAAAGCTGATATTATAATTGTTAAAATCTAAAATACGGTAGTGTGTTATTTATAAAATAATGATTATGGAAAATACTAAAAAAACGGTTGCGAGAGGAGAAAAGTTTCCCTCCGACGAAGCTATTAACTAGAGAGGGCTGTACATTTGTGTATTTATTCCATATAGGTGAGAAATTCCCGGTACTGCTTCCGGTCAAAGGTCAAACCAATAAAAATACAAAGTGTAATAAACTGGGAGATCAGATAAAATACATATTAGGATGATAATTACTGCGAAACTTAACTTCGTTTTGTCCAATTACGGATTAAAAGTGTAGTCATAACAGAATAGGCAGGAAGTTTGGATGAGAAACGTAATAGGATGATTATTATTAAGAAGACTGGCCTATTATGATGGTCATAGTAGAGAAAACAGTTTGGACGTGTTTCTTTTAAATGCATAACGTGAGTTTGAATTTTTGGATCGCTAATTTTTCAGATGTGCCCAGCCGCATGCCTTGATTTCACTCGATTTGCAGGAGAGTTTTGATCGGATCTTGTATATGTCTTTGAAGAACTTTTCAAATAGAGCTGAATGTCTTTAATTCATCAAGTGTTCGGTCACTGAACAATATACACACTTGCATTCTCTCTTTGCTAGCCAGACAGACTGGATAGTGTTCGCCAGCACGTTTTACAAGTAGATGCATGGTACGGCCAATGTACTCAGCTCCACACAAGGAAGTCAAATGTCATATACATACTGAAGTGGTCCAATGCGATAGCCTGTGTTTCACGTACTAGTTGAATAGTTTTTTGGAAAAGTTTACTCATAGGCTTATAATATAATACACATAATAGTATAATATATACATATAATATACATATTATAATTATATACAAAGCTGATGGTTTTTCCAATGGTTCTCTAACCGATGCCAGCTCATGATGAAATTCTGTAACCGAACCCCAAATTGTTATATGTCTAAGGTTGAATGTTGTCAAATTCACTGCAAATTTGCTTATTAAGAATTGACTGCAGATCTGTGGGAAGGGTGATCCAAGATTAGAGAAAACAGCGTGCGAATGTCCGGATAGTGAATAAAGGGATTAGAATATTACTTATTTGTGATAAGTCGTAGTATAATACTGGACATAAAGGCAACAGTAATAAAATGTAGATAAGCAAAAAATTAAAGATACAGTTTTAATATTAACTGGTTGGTATTTGAAGCATAATTCATTACTGATAATCATATCATTGGATTCAGATGACTAACTTTATATGGTTGTTATAATCCTTCCAGTACTTACTGCAATCTCGTGTATATCTGGAACAAGTGTTGCATCATTTCTGTTGTCAGTTGTTTGACCGTGAACAATTTATTATTATTCCCTTGGGTTCCAAGTGGAACATCTCTGTTTCACTCTGCTCTCTCTCTCTCTGTAGTCCTCTTTAAGTGGCATCACGATAGCTCACAGGCTCTTATCTTTTCTTCCCACGCCTTCCTGAATGTCAACCTGGGATGACTAACTTGTCGTTTCTTTAATCCAAATTAACTCGTATGTGCCTATGAATTCGACACTGTGGTACTAAGTAATTCCATATTAATTTGTATATTAGCTACATCATAATGTGAGACAGTGTTATTTACTGAATGACAAGGCTTCGAAAACAGTTTATTATTCCTAGTCATATTGTAACGATAGAAGACAAGAGTCAGGCAGCAGATCGTTTATTGGGAAAATCAACGGATATTTATAGATTTTTATGTACATTATTATTAGCGTTATTGTTAGCAGAGAAGAAACCTCTTCTGATTGGTTGTTTTCTTGCTGAAGGTTATTCTGTCATATATCTGCGAATCGTATTTGCACGCGTTAATTTATGGTCCGAAATCAAGAAATTGATATCTGTGTTCTACTGTATAGTCGACAAAACTTCGCTGAGACACGCGCTGTCACGAAATGTTCCAAAAGCAGGAAAGAAACGATTATTCTTCAATATTTTAATGCTTCTATTAAACAATAACATCAAAACTCAAATTTACCGCAACAGAGTCGTTGGCAGTTGTTGGTTAGCTATACAGGCAATGTAAGTTTCTAAATACAAAACAAGTGCAGTAAGATAAAATTAGTCAACTAAAGTTCAACTGTAAACAAATACTTCGGAATTCCCAACAAGGTGGGATCATAAGCTTTCTTGTCCACAAGAATTATTCAGACAAAACGACGCTTCCTACAGATAGTCCCGTGTCAGGATCACCTTCATTCACCCAAAATAAAAATATGAAAAATATTGTTAACCACCACGTCGTCGATATACATACAACCACAAAGCAGAGTATTACAATTAAAGACTGAACACGGACAAAGACGAATAAAGAATACAGGTCAAAATCAACATTTGATATACCAATGAATAGTACATAGTCTGCGGGAAAATATGTATAATAATTAAAAACTTAGCTGAAACGTCTAGAAACGTATAAATATTATAAATAGATCGTCCAGAAGGGATTTTTGGAACAATTTTTCCATTATAGTTACCAATCTTTATCCCCATCCCGTTAAGCTGCATTTCAGTGCTATCAGCTGGTTCTATTCTGTTGCGTGGTTGTGCATCCACTGTTACCTTTTCGTAGCCAAGAGGGATAATGTTCTTTGACAGTGTATCAATAAGGAGATCTATATAATTGGACATATATATTAAACACTAGTCACTCAAAATGCAAGGAGAATTCATTCAAAGTTACCTACTAAGTCAAAAGAAGCATAGCGAAAG